CAGACCTGCTCTTCTAGTAACTTGACTTAAATATCGGTCTTCCCTTAAAGTTGTAACCCTTGGACGCCCACTTCGATGTCTACTTTTCTTGAACCCGTCTCATTATGCCTTTGAATGGTCTGAGTAACCATACTATGGTCACTATATAGACTCAGCTATTCGTCGATGTAACAGACCTTCAAAAAGAAAGATTATTTTCAAACGAACTTCATTGCTAAGTTGAGCTCTAGGCATTTTTAAGAGGATTTTCAACACTATTAAATGTTAAGCGACACGTACAATACTGCATATTTTGTTTAAAATTGCGAAACGGATTTACTTCTTCGATTTTTACTTTGATTTTTTTAGTTCCATAAACATTAATTCATATTTTTATATTATACTTTGTGTGGCAAGACATAAAGCTGAGTGTAGTTCACAACATATGTTTTTATACAGGATTGTTCGTGGTACTAATACTGTTTCTTTGTCGTAAGTTGAAGAGGCCATAACAATTACTAAGAGCAGGACAATTTGTCTTGATTAGGGCTGGAAGTGTGAGAGGAAAAATAACCGTGGCAAGAATCGATTGACCGCATTGAACGTAATAAGGGAGGTTTGATGGGGCCGGCAGTAAATTTCTCGAAGGGTGAGGGCCGGCCACTCGTGCCATTACATAACACCATCGTTTGCTTGCTTAGGGTTGCTACATAAGACGAATCAAGTAATCTCAGTCGATGCACTTTTCGAATACGGCCACTTTGCTAATAAAAATCAATAAGAAATAAAGGTTTAACCAAAGGGAAAGCGCAGACATATTTTTACAAGCTTTGATGTTTCGAATGGCTTTTACCAAAGGAAGGTTCGGTCATTTTTGATGTGGTAAAATGATAAAATAGAAAAAATAGGTAAAATAATCTTGACCAAGATGCTATTTTATAAAACATTTTCTTATATTATATAAGCTTTTGTTGTCAATTTGTCAAAAATATTTTACGTAGCATTAAATTTATTTTAAATGGCGGCAGTAGCATCAGCTGTTATCATGAAATTTTTTTATTATATATTTATTATAAGTTATGGTTTGTTCTGTGATTTATTGGCTTTATTTAACGCATTAACCTTTGTTACTGAACAACAGGTAAGTCGATTACATTAAAATCCCTTAACATAAAAAAAGAAAAATATTTTTAAATTTTTGAAAGACAATATGGACAATAAGAACAATTTTGACAGTGTAGAAAACCAACCCTCTGTCCTAAAAATAAATCTGAGCAATACATAGGACGAGGTCAAAGAATAATACTTTTTAATATGGTAAAGAAACATATTGATAAAGAAAAAATCAACAAGTGTCACATTAACATCCAAAGAAACTGGTATTTGGAAAAATATTTGAATAAAGAATGTTTTACCAAAGTTAAAATAGAAAAAAGTCCATCAGCAGCATGGAGAAAAAAGGATGAGAGTTCCTGTTAGTGATAAAATGCTGAAGGTTAAAGTTTTAAATTTAGCAAAAAATTTAAAAAAATGTTCTATGGGAATATTATTAGTATCTTTGATTAATATATTAAAATTTAAAATCTATGACCAAGTTGAAAATGGTCAACGTAATATTTTGTTTTTTAAATAAAAGTTTCATTAATTGCATTTATATTTTCTTTAATGATTCGAGGGGGGAAATCAATCAGTACTAAAATTGGTCCTCATACTCTCCTTCTTATAGGCGGAACAGGGGGTAACTTTAAAATTTCCAATGGAACACCCTATTTTTTATTGCAGATTCGCATCATTCGACTAAAAATAGGTAGATTTTTTCATATTTGTAATGAAAAAAAATAAATTTTGTTCGATTTTTCTTCTGTATACGATTCTCCAATAATTTTTGAATAAAATACTTGGCTTTATTTTTTAAATTTATTTATTTTTTGCTAACACTGTTCTGGGATATTCCCAAATCTCTAGATAATTATCGTGTGCTTGCATGAGGATTAGCGGGCGTTGCTGCTAATACATTAATTTCATTATTTCCACCTGTGACTGTTGCTCGACGAATACTTTTTTTCGGTTGATCACTCCCGTTTGTAGTAAACTGCTTGACATTACGGTGAAATGAAGTACGTGATCAATTTTTTTTTCCGGAAAACGCTGAACGTAGATATTAACAGCATCATCAAGATTCCTGCCTGCTTCTCCATAAATCAAAATCATTTCTATTTCTGTTAAACGAAAGGAGGTATTTTTGTTTGCAAATTAATCTTCGAACTAAATTGATTAAATAATTCTAAACTATGTATAAATAGTTTTTTTATACCTCAATAATAATTATTATTTATAACTAAATACCATTTTTTTATACTTCATATAATTAATTGACAAAATAATGTTTTTTTTACCTTAAATGAGGTATTTTTATTAAAAATAGTACAACAATTCTAATAAGATAATTTTTTTTTCGTTTATTTACCATTTAATTTTTCTTACATTTTTAATAAAAGTCTATTTGTTAATAACGGAGTTTTTATATTATAAAATAATAAAAATTTGTTAAAACAATAAAATTTACCAATAAACAATTGGTCTCGTTTTGCAGCGACATCTACTCCATTCTTAAATGGAATGGACTATAGAATAGGAACAAGCCTAAATAAGGACACAATATAAATAAGAAATTGATATCATTTTACAGTCTTTTAGCTTACTCGCCGTTTAAAAGTATATGACCTAGAACAATAAGTTCTATATTAGAATTCGCGTGAACCACTTACCATATGTCCCGCGTCCCAAACGGTTGCGCTCGATCTACGAAACCGGATGCATTTTAAGATGAAAAGTGTATTTGTGCACTCGTTAATAAGGAGTTAAGGCATAATAACTCTCTTATGCCGCTGCCACATATCATACCGACCACATCAAAGCGGCGCATCCCTTCCGATACCCATACATCACTCAAATCCACTCATTACCAACATATTTAACTTGTTTGATTTCGACTTTAATTGTTTTTATCGCCGCTGGTGTCAACATTATTTAGGCCTTTCATCCCAAAATCTTTTACTTTTTATACGGTAAATTAGCCTTGGAAGCAACAGTTAAATCTGAACTACTGGACTAAACCACTTGAACATCATATCTCCAAAATAAGAAAAACCATGTGTGGGTCATTTTATATAAACTTTTTTTTTAAATATGTATGTTCGTTAAGTTACTTTTTTAAAGAAACCATTCCGATTCTTTGTTAAAAAAAACAATACCATTAATATTTTCTTTTAGTCACTGTATTAGTGAATTAAAGTCTAATTTATAAACACGTATTACCAAGTGATAGTGTATAAAAATCATTTTAAGTATTTTTTTTAACAAAAACCAAAAAAGTAACGAAATAGACATTGGTATCACAACGGACAGGGGTACACAAAGGACTTAATCAAATAACGTAAAATAGAAACTATATAGGGTGGTACGATTTTAGAGTAATGCATAAACAAAATTTCTTGTAGTGGTTCTCACTTGCAGAATAACAACTTAGATTTCTAAATTGTAGACACCCTTTTTCTTTGACTATAAGCTGGTGAAGGTCCCTTTTAATACTTTTATATTGCGTGGAATTTTTCTTTGGATGTAATCTATATCATGAGTTGTAATTACAAATAATTTTAAATTGGTTTATTATAAACTAATTTTAATAAAAGCGACGGTAAATATCCACCTTGTTGTCGAAAAATTCTATTGCGTTACCCTAAATTCCATTGCCTTACCATAAGGTAACATAGTGGACTCGGTAACGCAGTGGACAAAGTTTTGAAAAACCATATTTAAAAAATAATAATAAGACATTACAGTCATTAATTACTCTTAAGAGCTTTAGTGCCCTAAAATAAACATAAACATGAAAAATAGTATTTTTTCTTACCTTATTTTTATTATTTTTTTGAATAACTTAGCGGACAAACAATTATTACATTCGCGTTACCCGCACCTGTTTCAACCGATATCTTCTTCCTGATTGAATAAATAAATTCAGCTGGGTAATGTGTACGTTCGAACATCATTTGTTGATCACGTGAGTACCAAAAAAGTTGCCATATATACTCTCTAAAAATGAAACAGTGGATTTTCACTGATTGACAGTGCATATTAACTATTTGCCGCAGTGATAAGTATACCACTAGCAATTAGTGAATACTCACTTTTTCATGTAGCGATTTCTTTGCACTAATTTATTTAGTGAAAATTACATTATACAAATTAGTAAAATAGGTTTAGTTAAAAAAAGTTAAAATTTCACTATTTTATGTCGAGAGTTCCGGAAAAGTAGTGATAATAAAAAACACTAATTTTGAGAAGATAAAATTTCACTAATTTATATTGAAAAACACTAATTTGACAGTGAATAATAACTCACTGACGGAAATAGTGAAAATTTCACTGTTTCACTTTTAGAGAGTATGTATTTTTAATATTCTATCGGTAACGCGACGGACGTAACGCAACGGAAAAAATGTCTGGGACATGAGTCAAATTTAAAAAAAGTGGATTAAAATTAATTATTTTATATATAAATTGTTTACTGTATTAACCAAGGATGTTATGGATTGCTATAAAGCAACACAAAGTTCTGGTTATTCAATATTAAAAAAAAAACATGTATGTAAGTTTTTCACAAGTTTCAAAATTAAAAAAAAAATATTCTGAAATATAGTTATAACTAAAAAAAAATTTTCTGAAAGAGTTTACTAAGGGCTTGTTAGGCTTTCACTTGGTTTTTAAATCAATAAGATCCGATAATTTTTAACAAAGTTATTGGACAGCGGAAGGCGGGTGTTTTCTGAAAACGACCCGTGTACAAAAGTTTAGTTAAATTGTTTAATAGATTATTTTGAATTCATACTTACTGGAATTAAAAGAATTATTAGAACCATGTTAGAAAATTTTCCAATTAACAGGAAGATTTTGTAAAAATGTTATTCTCCAGCAGGTTTAAATTTACTAGGTATAAATAAAATAAGAGATAACAATAACTTAATTAACACATTTATTCAATAAAGTACATTTATTTTTAGGTTTACAAAAGCTAAAGGGTGACCTAAAGACGAAAACGTTTTCACATCCAAGAAGAAGTAGAAGATGTTTACCAAAGTTTCATTACATTTAAATATACTGTGACCGTCAAAAGTGTGGATAGTGTCGATATATGAAAGTTTTTTATTTTATATATCTTTGTTAGCATAAAAACTACTAGATGTAAAAACTTTTAGTTGAGCGTTCAATGAAGTATCTGTCTCTTAAGCGTTCTCCAAATATTTTGAAGTATTTAAATATAGGCCATTTAACGGAAACACAGAAAATAGTTTTAATTCTCATAGAATGTGACAATAAAACTAGAACACAACAAGAAAATTGCAATTTATTTAATGCAAAGTATCCAGCTCGACCTATTACTCGTGCTACGGTTAGTTAAATTGAACGGAAATTCAGAGATACTGGACATGTCAAAGATATTCGAAAACCTGGCCGTCCAAGTATTAGTGAAGACACTAAAATTGACATTTTGTTAAGTTTAGAAGAAGATCCTCACAGTGCTTCTAGTCTAGTCGCAGCTGAAAGTCAAGACAGCCAACGCTCAGTATTACGTACCAAGTTCCATCCATACAAAATTAGACTAGTGCAGGAACTTAACGAAGATGATCCGGACCGTAGACTACAATTTTGTGAAACTATAATAAATTTATGTAAGAATAATCCACACTTTCCTCCTAAAATATTTTTTTTGGATGAAACTATCTTCTGTTTGAATGGTACAGTCAACCAAATTGTAAGTACTGGAGCAGAGAAAATCTTAGTAGGGGCAAATTCCCAATACCGGCAAAAGTGAATGAATGGGCAAAAATGGTAGAAAATCGGATCAAAGGTCCTTTCTTCTTTGACGAGAATATGACAGAACCGTATTTGGAATTTTTGCAAAAGAAGAGTTTCCACCCAGATAGCACAAAGAAGTACTGGAAACGTCCTGAGGATATCTTGTATTAGACATTAGTAAGTCCCGAGTACGTCCGAATCAGGCAGGGACATCTGATGTTACCAAATCGTCGGTCCCCAACGTCCTAAGTAATACATCCTCTGGCCGTCCTGAAATGCTTTATTGGGGAATATTGGACAAGCTTTACAGAATTGAAGAGTCTAGGTGACAAAAATAAAATTGTGAGTTATCAATGAAAAACAAATATTTTGCACATATAAATGTTGGAATATTTTTAAGTCATTCTGCATGACAAACTATTTTTAAATAATAATATATTATTTAACCAACTTGACACTTAGACCCTTTGGAAATACCTTTGAATAAAAAAAAGGTTTTTTATTCAAAGGGAATATGCTTCAATTACTAAAAAAACAAAAATAACGTCCTTGGAACGTACCGAGTATATCCGCTTTAATTTTCCCAAATAAGTAAGAGACTGGACGTACCCAAAACTTCCGATATAGGTCTGGAACATTCGGACCCGAAATGGACGTCCTAGGTACCTCTTGTGCTATCTGGGCACATTAGCAGAAATGTACTTTTTGGACACATGTTTTTCTAAGAGGTGGATTGGCAGACGAGGACCGAAAGAGTGGCCAGCGTGATCTCCAGATTTCACTCCTCTCAATTATTTTTTATGGGTCTACCTTAAATCAAAAGTCTACATCAACAGACCACAAAATTTAGAAGACTTGAAAAATCAATTTCGTGAAGAATGCCGGTCACTGTATGTACAGGGCGGCCCAACGAAAACGAAACGAGCACAAGGAAATTGGCTACGCTTACTAACACTCCTAAAAGGACCATCAAACGGATCCTTCGATATCAAGATTTATTTGGTCCACGAACTAAATGAAAAAAAAAATCCAATGATGACATCTGTTTTTTACTCCAACTCCTCAATAACTTATTGTCTGGCGCCATTTTTCTTGATGGTAACCTGAATGAAGAACCGTATTACTGGTCGTTATTGTTCAAGGTTTAAAACTATGACTGCCACTTGGAAGACCATTCAGTGTTCCAACAAGATGGAGCACTTCCACACTGCCTGTTTTGTTTTCGTTGGGCTACCCTGTATTCACAAAATTTAGTAAAAATTCAAAAACCACTGTTTGAGTTCTTCCTTCTCGTCAAAGTTTGTATTTTCTTTAGCATTCAATATTTCATTTGATATTATCATATATGGAGTTTTACTGTATTTATTTTCATTCTTAACTTTTCTCGGAATATCTTCTGGATATTTCTCGTATATATATCTAGCGATTTCAGTATTTCCATGCTTAGCAACCATATGCATTATGTTCATTCCCTTTTTATCTTTGTAGTTGATGTTTACATCACAGTTTGTCAACCACCATTTCACCATGTTCCAGTTTCTTCCATAAATAGCAGAAAATAAAGGGGTCCACCCGTTTAAATCCTGGCAATTTACATCAAGACGGTTTTTTTTTATGAACAAATCGGCGAGATCTGGTTTACATTTCCAAGCCATAATGTGCAATATACTCCTCCTTTTACAATCCAAATGATTAAAATCAGCTTTTTTATTTATCAACCAGTTAATCATGTCAGTATTATTACTATTCACAGCATGAAACAATGAGGTCCATCCGTCTTTATCGAGGTCTTCAATACGCATTCCTTGATTCACTAGAATTTCTGCTACTTTAGGAGTTGATTTAGCAGAGGCACAGTGTAAAACACTTTCAAGATTACTTTTACTTTTTTTATTAATTTTTGCTTTGGACTTTAACAAATAATTTATAACTTTTATGTGGCTACATTCAACAGCTCTGTATAGAAGAGTGCAATTGTCCACATCATACTCATTTATGTCTATTTTATGTATTTCAATTTTATTCTTTATTGTTTCAAAATCGATTCCTTTTTTAATAAGTTCCGACAAATCAATTATTTCTTTCGGTTTGACCGTATCACAAATCGATAGATTTATATTTGCTCCTTTCTCCTTCAAAACATTTTTTGCTTCGGATTTACCTGCCTTTGCAGCAAAGTAATATGCAGTTTTGTTGCTGAGAGAGAGCGTATCAACATGCAATATATTTTGTTCGAGTATGAATTTTATTATTTTGCAGTGATTTTTTTCGGCTGCCACGTGCAAAATGGTTTTCTCCCAATCTGAGGTGACTTGATTCCTTAAATCCTTGATGTGGCTCTGAGTAAAAGCAGTGTTGTGATGATCCCATTCTTCGACAAAACTCAACTGAAAGTCTCGGGACAGTTCAAAATTATTTTGATGCAATTTAAAGATCACCTCTTTAAAGACATTATAGAGATTGTGCCATACTGCTATGTAAACAAAAAGTGCCTTATCATATATGGGTGGAATTGAAACTTGTAGGGGAAAGTGTTGGCAAATTATATTGAGGAACATAAAAGACCGCGACAAGAAAGCATACTCATGAGGCAAATACCCTAATAAATCTTCTTTAATATCCAAATTGTTATTTTTCATCAACTGTAAAATACGGTCTAATAATTTTTCATCCAATGAAAACTGTTTTTGTATTATGTGGATTTTATTTTGTTGTTTTCCGAAGTTTTTGACTCCTGTAACTTCATATGGATAGGTATATCTACCACCATAACCCATGACTAGATGTAAGGGTGTTCTACCCAAAACATCCACTTCTTCTAAATCACTTAAGGATATATTCTTCTTATGAAAGAGATCATGGTGAACTCTTTCTCTGGTAGCCATTAGATCAAAAAAATATCTGACATTTAAAAGTTCCTCTGTATATAAAAGTTCATATAGTACTTTAAATTTGTCCTTCACTTTCTTGGCAATCTTGTGTAAATATTGAGCACAAAGAAATTCAGCAAACGACCTATGTATAAATAGAGCAGTCTCATTGTTGAGAAATCCTGATATGATTTTATTTCCTTTGTAACTGATCTTAAAATCCTGTATATCATTGATCAAATCGTCCATATCAAAAATATCACTTATCAAAGAATAATCAAAAAATGTCAGAAATGCCACTTTCTCGTAGAAGCGTGTAAAGAAACTAGGCATTTGGTAACATTCAGTGTATTGTTTTATGTAGGTATCAAATATGTATATTATATCAACATTTTCTTTATATGTTATTGAAGGATGGATATCAATAACTAACTTTAAAATCAGCGGTATTCCTAAGAAATCTGTCATAACACACTTAAGTATATTTTTGATGAAGTTTGGTTTGACATCCGATTCATTTAAATACTTTGTTTGGTCCTGTTGATCGAATTCTTTAAGTTCAATGGACTGCACACTCAAAATATTTTCTAATTCTATTTTTTTCGCGCCTCTGGTTGTTATGAAGATGGTGGCACCTAATTTTGTGTAGATGTGTTTAATGATTTGACAGTCAAAGTCCACCTCGTCTATGCCATCGAATAAAAGAACCATTTGGTTTGTTTTGAGTAGATGGTGCAATAAATCCTTCATGAATTGAAGAAGATTTTTATCGCTTTCGCTATGAAGTTGACATTTCGCTATGTACTCCAAAAACGAGTTGATGTCGCTGGTTTCGTTAAAACTTTTTAAAAACACGACATGCTCCGGTATGTTTAGGTAGACGGTGAAGTAATTATTTTTAATATTCCTTTCGATATTCCTCAGTAGAGTGGTCTTGCCCATTCCAGCAGTTCCACAAATTAAATTTATAGGGAATTTTGTTTCTAGAAGATATTTTTCATTGACTACATTGCTTACTTGATACTCTCTTAATTCTCTATCATTAATACAGCCATTATGTAAATAACAAACATAGTTGTTTTCGTGTTTAGAAAGGCACAACCATGGTCTCTTTATTGGTTGAACTAATTTAATTGTTTCGTAAAAACTTTTGTTGGAATAAACAATATTTTTCGTTTCGTATGATTCTATGTTTTTAATATAGTCCTCTAAATTAACTTGGGATCGGTCCTCATGTATAACAAATAAATATTTATTTTTTCTTAAAACTTCACTCTTAAACTGATGTATATCAAGTTTTCTTGATATATATTTATCGGTTTCAACAAAATCTATTCCAAAGGACTTTCTATTTATTATTTCCAGGTATGTGGTAGGTGTTATTCTTCTCAAGAATTCTTTACCAGTTAAATCTTTTAATTTTATTTTGGCTTTTTTTTGCAGAGATATTTGTATAGCGTTTAAAACATTATTCCCATCTAAATCACCCAACGTTTTAAATACTTTTAACTTGTTATAATCTGGTGGTACAATTTTCTGTTCGCATACCAAAACAATTGAGCGTTGAGCAACATGATTGACTGTGTTTAGAAGGTAATCAATTTGTTTTTTATATTCTTCTGTATATTTCACTATTAGTGGAATTTCGTTCAGGTTCCACAACAAATAAACCAACCCCTCATGGGTTAGTTCACCAAAAGGTTTTCTTCGTATTCCGTGAACTTTAAGCTTTTCATTTTTGTATACCAAACTTTGTTCCTCTTCATCACTTAACTCTTTCTTCCAATCTTTAATTTTAATTTTAAAGTATGTCTCGACTTTTTCTTTGACAAAACATGATAGTAAATCTTTTGAAACCACCGTCAAAGGAAATCGATTAAAAATATGTAAGACTTCGGTTGCATTTTTAATTTTTTCGGTTCTTTCTTTATTTTCCCCAAAAAACACGACACAGGGATGTAATATAACCTCTTTTAAAATAATAAGGACATCTTCTTTGCAAAACGGTGACTTTCTTTCGGCCATTGATATTTTAAAGAATTCAAGAATTTTTTTTATTACCTCTTTTGGCACATTTCTTTCAAAAACATTATTATAAAAATATTCTTCCAACTTTTTAGCATGGACTTGGTCTGTTAAGATATAACAATTTTGGTAAAAATCAGAGTCCTCAACTTTTGGTTTATATATCCTTGATTCACTGTTTTGAGTATTGATGTAATTTAAAAAGTTGTTGTTATTATCATTTTGCTCAATCATTTTATTCGCCTCAGATTTAGAGTCAGTAAATAATATGGAGGTTAGTTTTGTATTGTATATGTTCTTTAACTGATTGTAACTTGTTTCGTATTTATTAAAATCCCTAAATTGCTTTACAGATTTATTAACCTTCAGTTTGTGTTTTAGTTGAAATAAATATATCTCTTTGAGTGTTTCTTTTTCATACACTTGTAAAACTATATCATCTAAATTTTTATGCCCTATTGCGTTAATGGCGATTTTGAAGTCTTCAATTTCAGAAGAAAGGGTACTTTTGATAGCTAGGTAAGCAAATATTCCTATTTCGTAATCTTTTCCGTAGTCGTAGGCTTTCTAGAAAGGAGTAATAAAAGATTATTATTTTTTTTATTTTAAGTCAATAAATAATTTATTCATTTACATCTACAAGGCATCTAGCAGATATCTTATAGTTTATGCAGTGTTTAAAATATTTGTGGTGTAAAAAGTAATCTTAAAATGGTGTCTAAATCCCACATCAAGTGGTGTTAATATAAACACCATGAATTGTGGTTAAAAATACAGAAAACACTAAAACGGTGTTAATCTAAAAATATTTGAAAAGTGTACCTACACAGAAAAAAGGAATAGTTAATTTAATGATATTAATTTAGTTGACCCATAAGTATTTATTTAAATCAACTGTTGATTTAAATAAATACTTATGGGTCAACTAAATTAATATAGTTAACCATGGTTAAATCAATCCAGAAAACTTAAGTGAAACAAACCCGCTGTATGGTTCAGTGTACTAAATATGTTGTTTGTAAAATAAGAGTTACTTCAACCTAAAGCACTCTGTTAAAACGATTAAAACAATTTGCCGTGCATTCCTGGTTGCATAATATGTACCGATCGCGTTAAAGGCGGTGTGGATCACGTGTTCACATGTTCTTAAATCTCGCCTCTGTTGACTTTAATAAAGAGTATATAAGCTCAGGTAGTCCTTTGCTTTGGTGTGATGGTGTGACACTACAAATTGTTCGATACTAAACAGACCTTAAATAGGTGGAAACAGCTGTCAATACTTGAAGTATTTTAAGTTGGTGGAACGCACTAAAAACATTATTTCTAGCGAGTTGAAGGTTCAATTTTCTGGAATAATACCATTGGTAATATACTAGTATAAGGAACTTCCTGTTTCCTTTTTTTTTCTTTTTTTCTGTGTAGTAAGATTTAATTTGACCAAAAACACATAATATTTAACACTGAAAAGGAGTTCAATTTACACCAGGTAAAATTTATTTTAATACTGTGTGAAAGTTAAATTTACACTATTTTAGTATTTGAAGTTACACGGGACCAACAAACCATATTTAACACCATTTTGGTTTGTATCGATATAGACCATGTATGGTGTTAATTTGGTGTTAAAATGGTCAAGAAATTTTGAACAGTGTGTGGTTGACAGTTTGTGTAAAAAATCCAAACTATCATCATAGTTTTTTAAACAAATCTAGGGTGCTTAGAACATAAAGATTATTTTATTTATTTTTCTCTGAAAGCATTTTTATGCTTTATTTGTTTTTGAGCACCCTGTACATTTTATTCAACATTTTATTATGGAAATCTAATTTTTTCAAGAAGTTTTTATGAGAAATGCATTATCTCGAGTGTAATACTAATTTTCTACTCAAATTAAGTAATTTTTTTAAATAACAAAATTATTATATCCTTACTTTCTCTCGATTTTAAAGATCACCTCGTAAAATCTTTATTTATTGTGCGATTTTAACCGGATTTCTTTTAAAGTGTAGATCTTGATAAACTGTATTTTTGGAGCAAAAAACACCATATTTTTTACAAAATACAAGGCCTTCTATGTCAGAATTTGAGAGTAAATTTTTAAGAATTTTTAAGAATATTAAAATCGGTTAATCATTGATCCCTAACAATGTGAAGTTCATTATTTCCGTTGTTAGACAGACTGGTTATAATGGTTACCATTATATACAAAAAAACCCAAATAAGGTCTAATATGCAATAGAAGTAGAAAAAATATATAATTGAATGAATCTCCAATATTATGGGTATGTATACTTATATACCTATACTTATACTTACATTATTGTTCAATAATTCCTTCACTGTATTTGCCATTTTGATTGATTTTAAAATGTATTTATATAGACATTATATACTCGTATATTAACAGAGCCTACAAAAAACAAATTTGGTTATTTATAACACATTTTATATTTATTTATTATTAATGATAAAATAAAAAAACGAACAAAGTGCGATCAGAAATAATATTTTTTTTATTATATATACATATAAATATAAAGGGTGTCTCCAAATATGTATCTGTACTGTACCTGTTTCTTTTTTTTGGATAAATAATTTAATTGTTTTTAGAGGTAAAAGCAATAATGATATAAATTTCATAATTTTTTTATTAAAAAACAGTAGGTCTAATGCAAAAATTATAAAGGAAAAACTGTCTTGTTTTGTCGTGTACTATCATCCCCCCAAATGATGACAATTTATTAGGTGACACCCTGTATATGTATAACTATATTTATAACTATAATAGATTTTTTTGTCTTTCAAATCTGTATCATAGTAACATATTAAATCAAAATAACTTACCTTACTATATTAGGTACTTAATAGTAATTTTTAAATTTAGTAAACTTAGGATGATTTTTTTAAACTATTCACACTACCAAATTTTAATTTTGTGTTGCAAACCTACTACTCATATCTAATATATTTCACATTATATTATTTTATTTATTCATTTATAGATAAGATTGGTTACTTTGAAGTTTATTTGTACATACATATAAATTATCATCGGGATTTCGCCAAACCACAGTTTATCAAAAAATAAAAATACCGGGTGTTAAAGTTGTAATATTTTTTAGGATTTTCTTTATTATTTTCTGAAATAATAAAAGTAAATTATCTAAATTGTTTCTATCAAAAATGCAACATTTAAGGGTTTTTTATTTTTAATAGTATACCGGGTGATTAGATTGCTTAGTTTAATTACTAAATTTTTGGATTTTATGTCTTTTTAAAAAACTTTTTGTTTAATTTTCTTTTAATGTATTTTGCATGGCCAAATTTAAAAAAAACGTCAAAATAGCAAAACCAATGCTTTTATTAAGAAAACTGCGTTTTAATAAGTAATGGTAAAGGTTGTTTTTGTAAAATTCGTTAAAAAATGTGATGGACATTCAAGAATATATCAATATTCAAATTTATTGGCAGAAAAGATCTCTACAAAAAAGAAGCACATTAAATTTGGCTCTACCGAAAAATTGTGGAAACAATAACAGATAATGTTTTACTCTGCTGTGTGAGCTATCGAAAAGTTACGCGCCTAACAATTTATGGACAACAATTTCGATGATTAAACGTGTCTCAAACTACAGGAAAATATAATAATATTTTCTCCAATTTATTTCAAAATTTTAATAATTTTTGGGATGCGAGGGTGGTAAGAAGGAAAATGAAACTAAATTATTAATTTAGATACCTATGTATTTAGCGACTTATACAAAAAAATATGGAAAATAGAATACCTCATTTTAATATAAAGTTTATATATATATATATATTATAAACTGACACTAACAAAACATAAACAAACTAAAATATAAAATTCGTATATATAATTCTAATAATATGGAGATATAATTCAACATGAAGTGCGTCTCCACTTATAATAGTACAAACGTCGATAGATTAAATATGTATTCAGCGACCAATACAAAAATTTTGTAAGGATAGGATTAAAGCCCGCTGCACAACAGCCCGGTAATGAGAACGGGAACGGGAACCTAAACGGTAAAGGTGGGAGAGACTCAGCAAACACTATCTATCAACAGTGGTTTCTTAGTCTCTCCCACCTTTACTGTTTAGATTCCCGTTCTCGTTCCCGTTACCGGGCTATTGTGCAGCGGGCTTAAGTTAATATAAACTGAAAACATAAAATAAACCTAAATTACAAACTAAAGTAAATGGTAAGCTGATCAATAATGTAGCACAGTATGAACATAGAAACACTTTTTATCATTTGATCACCAGGTCATAATTATTGATTTATTCCAGTCCCTGAACAATTTTGCAAATACCTACACGGAGAGAAATGTATAGTAAATTTTAGATAGTAAAAAATATATAGTAAAATTTACTTTAACAAATTATTAGGGTAACAATATTATATATTCGTCAATACAAATTAAGATTGTAATACAAAATACTATTTTTTATTATACAATTTTAGTAAAGATTACAACACCAATATTACTAAATCATAAATGTATAATTTTTAATATATTCGTATAGTAAATTGATTACTCTCTACAAATAGTAATATTTAGTATATATACATATATATAAATCATATATGTATATATAAATCATATATGATTTAATCAAATGTAAGGTGTACATCAAATGTAAGGTGTACATCTAATATTATAATATACATAATATAGTATTACACATTAATAAAAAATATAGTAAAAATAAAGATACTCTTATGTTTAAGGTAAATAAACAATATTTTTAAATATAATATAATATAATATACATGCACGATTAATATATTATTTTTAATATATTATTGTTTTTAAAGACGTTTACGTCAAACAATTTTTGTTATAATTGTCATATTATAATGTCAACTGACATCAGTCAGTTTTAAAGTTTAAAGATAAATGAAATTGAGGAAGCAGCTGAAAAGGCGAAAAATTGCGGCCTGCTGCCGGTAAAATCAAAATCTTTATACGAAAAAACTTACTTCGAATATATCAAATGGTGTAACATTGTTGTTTTTAATTTTTGACGTTTCATTATAGCCCGCTGGGCCATAATAACGCCCGCGGGCTATAAAAAGACGTTTACGTCAAAGAATTTTTGTTATAATTGTCATATTATAATGTCATCGTGCATAAATTTATATTAATCACCCAATCTATATATATATATTATAAAAACAACTATAAAGCATGTTTATATATAAATAAGAATTTGGAATTATTTACCCTTATCAAATTTGTTTACATTCAAGGGTTTTGTAAACGTTTTTTTTATATATATACTTTTATGTAAGCTCAACGTCTAAAAATACGAGAAATCTACGTCTATAAATTTTGTTGTTGTTGTAAGCCAAGTAATATTTAAATGTATTTATCACCGCTAACAAATTTGTTAGCGATAGAAACAATGTTTATGTCATATAGTATTAGCTGGATATTTGATTTTGTACCTAAATAAAAATAAAGTTGTCTATCGTTTTCCTAAACATAAACGTTACTTATAGGTACCAATAATTTTCTACGTGGTTCAGTAACTGAACTTCAGTTTTCATAATACTTGTATACATATGTTCATTAGGGTGGTCCAAAAAAGCGAAATTGATTTTACAGATTGTCTCACCCCCCAATTTTTTTACCTCCAACATCAATAAAAAATTCCCAAAATTTTAAGCCTCTAGGTGTATTAGAAGGGAGTGCTCATTAGCTAAGAGATTTCAGTTTTTTTTAAGTTTATTTAAAAAAACCATTACGCCATCTTTTCACTGGTTAGATAAAATGTTATGCCCTATACATTAATTTTACAATTACCAAAGAATATTATTTACCTAAACATATATTTCTTACACACCCTTACCTTTAGTATAGGCCCTACATTCCGGACAAAAAACTAGTTCAATCAGCTAATCCCGCACCTTTCCCTAAGAAACTAAAAACTACACTTTACAGTTTAAATGTCATAAGTGCTCCGGAAATTCCAATTTTTATTCGATTTAAAATAATTTGGGTACCTATTGATTGAATTTTACAAAAACTCCACAATCCCCTTGTTGCTAGCTGCATTGAAACAAAAGTCTCAACGTTATGACGACTACTTAGAACTGATCGAGTTGGCTTTGGTCGTTTTGGTGAACCTCTGGCACCAGGGCCAGGGCCAGGGCCAGGGCTAAGTTGATATATATATATATCAACGCATATATGCGTTCAAAATATTTCTCTTTCAAGGACAGGGTGTGTTACATATTAGGCCAAGAGAAAAATACCAACTTAAACGATTTGTTTTGTTTGGTGCTCTTGTTAACGTTAAAATCTGGATCAAGGCACCGTGTGCCACTAAAGCTCCTATGTCCGACCTAACTTTTTGGAAAGATTTAGAACGCTATGAGGAGATAAGCGAGGTTGCTAGATATACTCTGAAACATCATCTTTGGCACTTAACAATAATAATATTAATAATCATAATATTAATATTAATATGGACTTTGTCTACGCAATAAATTATTTCTTACTTATATTTTTTCAAGGTCGACTGTGAATTGTAATACTTTGAGTTGTAAATGATATAGCGAAAAGAGGGGTAAAACTATTTGAAGAGCATAATCAATTATAAAAAAGGAGAACGAAAAGCAAGACTTGTTACAAATCGTAGAAGCGAATCGGAAATCTGTTCGGACAGAAACTACAAAAAAAGCTGTAAGAGTTCTAGACCATGATTTTCATGTGGATATATTGTCTTCAGATTCATTATATTATAGCTTTGAGCACTCCCTTCTAATTAAGCTAGAGGGTTCAAATTTTGTAAAATAACTTCTTTTACTTTATATAAAAAAATTAGAGGGTGAGAATAAGTTTATTTACAACTTCACTTTTTTAATTCGTTTCTGGACCACCCTAATGTTCATGGTTCGCACTGTTTCGGTATTACTCGTACCTAAGACGATTGTTTAAACCAATAGGCGCGTGTCACGTGATCATTCCTTCTAGACGCTTCGTTTTGCCGTTACCGGTCACATGTGTCCTGTGTTGATAATGGCTGCCGTATAAGTTATGTTTACTGTTTACTGTGAGTGGTTAGCGATTAATTTATTATATTGTTTGGTGGGAATACAGCCAATAAAGTAAGTATACCTACTTTAATTGAAATTTCAGATTACTTAATTTGCACCAAATAACTAATAATTGGTGTTTTTATTTGACGAAGCCGGCAAAAATCCGTAACCTTTGCAGAAGTTTTAACCATGCGACATATTCGTTTTGCATTAAATTAGATGGTTTATTTTTGGATTAGGTTAACATCACTTTAGAATTTTTAAAATAATCAATATTTTTTATTTTTTTAAAGATCTATTATTGGTTTATGGTATACTATTTATAAACGTACATTATAACCACTTAAAAACACGAATTGTGTTTTTTTATTATTTATTATATTTTTATTTTACCACAGAATAAAAAGTTAAAAGTTATTTAAAATATACGTAAACAGTCGCACTTTTTAGTAACATTGTTTTTTACTGTTTTACAGAGGCAGTGAAACTGTCTTTTCAAGGAAAAGATCAAGTCCAGGGAAATAACTGACAAAGCCATAGGACAAGCCTGTCAAGATTGGCTCAAATTATCAAAGCAATGATTCAATGATGTTAAAACTTAACATTTGTTTAATTAGTTATTTTAAAATAATAAATAATTATTTATGAAAATATATTCGTTTGTCATCTACTCAGTTTCTTTTCAATTTCTTTTTAAACTTTTTTTTACCTTGGAGTTTCTACTACACTTAGGTAAGTTTTTGCAAATCTGGAAAGAATATGCCGCACTTAAATTAAATGCAAAGAATAAATAGGTATAGTAAATTTTACTGTAATTTTAATTATCAATGCATTGATAACCGTCATGCATGGTTTTACGATTTTAATTTAAT